ATTACAACAAAAATATTGTGAAACTAATTGAGAATCAAGACTACTTGCAACAACAAATTGAATTTGTCAAAAACAAAGTCAATTTAATTAATTTTCAATTTCTGAGTAACAAAGGGTCAGATCAATTTGTTCAAAACTTCTGTCATCAAACAACTACCTTGATCCAAAATCAAGAAGAGTTGTTTAAACAAGTCCAAAAACTTCAAAAATTAATTCTTGCGTTGAATGGGTGAAACTTCTTTCACTCAAAATTCAAACTACAGAGAAACTTTAAAAGAAGCAGGAAAATTAGGAAATCCCTACGGATTAACCAATTTTCAACCTTAGCAGTCCAAGATCAGGTATTAGTAGGACAACAGAATGCCCAAATTATTTTGCTACTACGAATCCTTGAAAACCAAGAAGAAATCTTAAGTGAAATAAGGAATATAAAAGATCTTTTAAAAGACACTCACTTAAGAACTGCAAAAATAGGTCAAGAGACCAAGAGACAAGATCTTCTTCAGGAAGCAAGTGAAATAATAGATTTAGAAAGAATCATTAGCATAAAAGAAGATCTTAAACAGATAAAATCTAGACTTTCGTCTTTATCCCACATAAAGGCTAAAGAACTAAAAGTCTCAAGAAATTACGTTGTGTTACCTTAAAATCCAAAAATAATGGAATCATCTAAAATCACAGGCAACCCTCTGATTAGGATGTTCTCCAAAGGAAAACAAATTCAAGAATCTATAAAAGTCGAAACTTTAATAGACCTTGAAGAACAAATAAAAAGATTCAAAACTCATAAATTTGACTTGGTCAAACCCAAGTATCTTTATGAAAATGCCAATTCTCTGTTTAGTGCTGGATCAATCTTTCAGCATTATCAGGAAGTTCAAATATCCTGTGTCAAAAATAGTGATAGTGTTACCCTAAGACTATTAAGTGAAAATGGATATTTTAATCTCAAAAGAATGAAATATTCATTGGCACACATAGGGTTAATCACTATAGGAGTTAAAACGCTTCATAGAAAGGGTCTAAGTACAAAATGCCTTTTGACTCTTTTAGACACAAGACATCAGGATATGATTCAATCCCTTATAGGATCTATCGAAATAGACCTATCTGAACAAGGGGGATTTGCTTATTTTACTCCCAATTTCCAAATGGATATAAAAGCCTTTAAACAATTTTTAAAAATAGGAATCATGACTAAAGGCTATTCTATGGCTGAGGGAGAGAAAAACCTTTTAGTTTGCATAGGATTCACTGGCCAAATAACTCATAATGGCACAACCAATTATATAGTAACAAGTGAAGAAATATGTGAAATATTTGGAACAAAGGGAATTAAAGCCGTTCAAGCTCAACATTTAGATTCAACCTATTTGAATGGAACTGAATGGAACATAACCAAATTCCTCAGCAAGCCCATAATGGTACCCACTCAAAACACCTTATATCAAAATTATAAGGGAGAAATGATTCTAAGCTTTAGTGATTATGAAAATATTCTTCCTGAACAAGAAGAAAATGAAGAAACAGTTGAAATCAAGATGCTACACTTCACTGAAGAAATTGAAAATGAAGAAAGTGAACCTTCTTTGCTTCAAACCTTAAGAAAAAGGGAAGAACATTTTGAAAAATGGGGACCAATCAAAGACAAATATAATGAAGAATGGGAATTCATTGAAACTTACTTTTC